TTGGAGATAAATCCAGAATTTTTTCAACTTTCTAGATACCCTTGCTAAAGTGTAACAAGAAAGGGAAGACTCAAAATTACTCCCGGGCTTGAAGATTTAATCTGATGGGTGAAAAGATGTTACCATTTTATTGAAAAGAAGAATTTCATGAAAGGTTAGGGTATTGTTGAGGGGATCATTTTTGGCTCAATTTAGCTCTGATCCCCCCAAAACTGGTCTGTCTGTAGCCAGAAACAGGAGTACATGTGCATCTTTGTGTGTTTTTCTGTATACTATCAGCAGAGCATGTTTGTCTTTTTTGGGGGAAAGAATGGCTATAGGTAGCATTTTTAAGAATCTTCAATGTGTCAGGACCTGTGTTAAAAACTCAATTCAATCAGCTTGCCCATCCTCTGAGTTTTGAAGGGACTAAGCCCTTTTCATAGATGAGAAAATTGAGACTCAACTGGATTGTAATTAACTTTCCACTGGTAGCACAGCTCTTACATAGAGGAGTGAGGTTTTGAACCTGAGTCTACCAACCTGGTTTCAAAAACTGCACCTGACTACCAACTAGTTTTGCATATTCCACTAGCTGTTTAAGATGGCCTTATTTCATTGATCTTCCTTTTTCTAAGAAATTGCTGGCTCCCAGGCTCTTCCTGGTTAACTGCTACCTAGACTGCCTTTTTATCCCCACGGGGACCATTTTTTTTCCAACCAAACTGCTGGAAGAATTGTAGCACCTGAGTGCTACGCTCAGCCTCCATGCTCTAAGAAGTCATATTATTTTCTCAAAGGAGAGAAAGTTGGCCTAGCAAGTAATGATTGCTGGGAAAGAACTTTCTGGTTTTCCATTTTGTTCTGCTATAAATGGCACGTTCTATCAATTGAGGCCTGCTGGGAAAGATTTTGTCTTTCCTTGTTGCAATTTAATTTTATCCTCTGTCGATCTCAGGTACATTTTAAATACAAAGCCAAACTGTTCAGTTCCCATTAACCTGAATCCTACAAGTTGAAGTGGACTTTGTGTAGACTACCACTTAGTAGACAGGAATTTCCCTAATTAGTGGATTTAAAGATGTGTATCCATTTAAGAAATCTCTTTGTAACCCCAAACATTGCTTAACTAAGGCTTTAAATCAGATCCTCAGAGGGGTTTAATGAAAACCCTGAGTGCGTTTTCCACTGTTGGTAAATGAAGTGCAATGTTGAGATGAGTGAAGTAGTTTATTTCAGAGAACATGCAGGGAGCTTGTGTCACTCTTGTACTGCTGGGCAGCAAACCCTTTCTAGAAGAGCACAATTTAGAATCGGAGATGGCTGATGAGGTATTGCTTGGAAGAGCGAATTGATACTTCATCAGTCTTCAGAGACTACATTAATGGAGCAGTCTTTCAGTCTCGAAATGAAGCCCCAAGTAGAAATACCCCCTGTGAAAGAGCGCTGTGCTGTATAATGAGTTTGCACTTGGTTGCTGTGAATCTGAACAGCTGCTTGTGCCTCAGTTCTGTGGCCTGCACTTTGCCCGGGGACACCTTTCGTGATGACAGTCTTAGATTCTGTGTTGCAATTTATTCGGTTTTTATGTTTGCTTAAACATAAAACCTACTGCAAACTCTTGTCTCCAAATTGACTGTCGGTATTTAATTGCTCCACTTGGGGTTTTCTTGATCTTTGCCAGGTTTTCCTTGTGTTGGAACCTGGCTTGTAAACACATTGTTCCTCACCCAACTCTAGAATCTGTGACTCAGCGTAGCAGCTGAGGTCCAAGAAAGGCAAGGGCTTACTCAGAAGGATGGGAACTGACTGTGTCACAGCCGTCAGCCCCTAGACTGGTGGTCAGTAGCGTCTCCTTTCGCACTGGCCCGATCTTGGTACGTGGCTGTCTTTTGCAGTGTGACACATGGTTACAAACCTAACAGCTTAAAGCAGTGGGGTTACCGTCTCCCAGGGTCTGGAGGCATCTCTGAATCACAGTGTCTCACAAGGCTGCAGCCAATCAGCTGGGGCCTGGAGCTTCTCTGCAAGTTCACCTGGGAAGCCACCCGCTTTAAGCTCACACAGGTTGTTGACCAAGTTCACATTCTCAAGAGAATGTCCCCGAGGAGCCCAGTTCTCCCTTAGTTGTTGGGCAGAGGCTACTTGCAATCCTTGTCATGTGGGCTTCTCCAACAAGATTGTTTGCTTCACCAAAGTGTGCAAGCCCAGTCAGGTACTATTGATACCTGCTAGCAGGATGGCTATCAGCATCTTCTCTGACCTAACCATTGAGGTGACATCCCATTGCTTTTGCTTCATTCTGTTGGATCAGAGTAAGTCACTTGACCCAGCCCTCCCTTGGTGGGGGTGGGGGGAGAGGTGAGACTGTGCAAGGGTTGGATACCTGGGTTCAGGGATTGCTGGAGGCCGTCTTAGAGTCAGCCCACCACAGAGTGCAGCAGACACTCAATACATATTTGTTGAATGAGTGAGCTTAAAATGTTGGGTGTAATTTAGGCTAAGAGCACTATACTCTTTCCCCTATGAGACAGGTTACTTTAATACCTTATTTATTTTATTTTTATGCAGTGCTGAGCATTGAACTGAAGACCTTACACATATGGGCCAAGTGCTCTCCCTCTGAGCTCCATCCCCAGCCCCACTTCAATATTTTATATATGATAACCTCTTGCATATTTACCTAGTCTTTGCCCATTCCTAATAAGGCAAATCTATGACCTTCCCTACTCCTAAGGAGGCATTTTTCCAACAAAAGGATCAGCCTGGCATCCCCTTTGATCCAGTATGCCTTGTCTCTTGTACTTTTCCTACTGCATACATGGTAGAGATTTAAAGCAGTCCCCCCATAGCATTTTCTCTTCGGAGTCTTTTATAAATAGAGTGCTTCAAGCAGCTTTTTGCTTTGAGGGAATGGAAAAGCAAAGGTGAGAGTTCACATCTAATGTGTTTTGGTTGAAGTCGCTTGCTACACAAGGAACCAGCCAGCTCTGCTTTCTCCCCTAAGCCTTTGACATTGTTGGGGCTTTTCAGTGCATGGCGGGATTATTAACAAGAGAAAGTCAAAGTTGTCCAGCAGTGCCACACGGAACTGAGAGAAACTTGCAGGCAAGTCACTGAGCCTGAAATAAGCTGCTGTTGCCCCAGGCTCCCCCAGTCTCAGACTTTTCTCTTCCTTTTTTAATTCAAAGGTCATGGCAATATTGGTATGAAACAGTTTGCATTGTAGCTCAAGACTGTAGTCCATGCTTTGCTGGGTTTGAATTTCTTTGCCTCTTCTCAGTGCAAGAGCAGCCTGTTCTTTGAGAAGAATGGCTAGGGTGGGACAGGTGGTCCTGGGACCCCATCTTGAACTACCATAAATGCTTCCCCACTACCTTCTTGGCTCTGAGACACACAACATTGAAAAGACAAGGACAGAAATCGCCATGTGGCCCCTATAGAAGTGCCACTTGCCAGATGCCCCAGCCTACTGTTCCCTCCTTCTTTTCTGCTTGGTTTTGAAATGCAGGGTTGGGTAAATCCAAAACCAAAGAAAGTGCAGTTGGATACCCAGCCCCGGACAGTTTTATCCTCATGAAAATCAGACATCACCTGCGCAGGCAATAAGCAGACCTGCTCTTGGTTCAATCTGCCATTGCACAGACCTGCTTCTTGCCTTGGCGTCACCTTGCAGGGCTCTTTTCAGTAGTGGACTCCACCAAACCAAGTCTGACAATTGGATGGTAAAGACTCTGGTGGGTGGAGTTTTGAGGCAGGGAGGCAGAGAATGGTCACCACAAAATGCGTTTCTTCCTTGGCTTTCTCTGGCCATGGATCTCAACTCTCCGGAGATGAAAAACTTGTGAATTGAATAGTTTCCACTAATATTACAAATTAACAGTAAGTAAACTGTGTCAGGGCTGGAGCTCCATTTTAAACAGGGTAGGATAAATTATATTAGCATCTACAATTTGTTTCCTTTTATATTAATCCTTCCTGTGACTGAGGAATTTGAAGTTTTTTCATCTGCCAATGGAAACCAGTCCCAGGAGACTTATCTCTGTCGAGTACTAGAAAATGATTGATGATCCAGGGCCAGACCGTCCACTCTGAGGGGGCTCTTCTGTGCTGTTTATCTGTTAGGTTCGGTTTAAGTTATGGTAGGATCCTGGATTTTAAGCAGTCACATTTAAAGCCAGCCTCCTGACTGTCCACACTTACCTCCTTGCCTTCCACAATTGGGAGAATAAACGCATTCATTTCATGAGAAGTCCTCCAGCTTTGCTGTACTGATTTTCCCTTTGCCGTGCTTCCTTCTGAACTGTGTCCCTGCTTTCCATGTGGTGTGGAATGCTGAATGCATCAGCCCTTAGCAGCTCTGATGGTCAGGAAAGATTAGAACATGATGGTAGGGAGACAGGGGAAAGAAGAAGTTTTTGCATCCAAAACCAAGACCATAGGCTGTCCAAGAAGAAAGGTAGTATTTGTTACTCCTAATTTCCAACATGGCTCCACAGTTACTAGTTTAATGCTAGAATAGAAGTCTTCTTGAGCATATCAACAAGTGTTTAACGTGTTAATAAGGGAAGCCGGTCAGCACTTTGGCTCTCGGTAAGGGCTACCTGAAATGCAGTGGTGCTCAAAGAGCCAAGTTATAAATGACAGCAGCTGGAATCACAGTATAGCAGGTGATAACCAACATGACGCAATCCAAATGAAAGAATCTACAGCCTCCTTGCTGTGTGGTTCCGCGGAGAGCAAGGAGAGTCCAATGAGAAGTCAGACCTCATAAGAAGCACTTGATTGTGGCCTGATCAAGTGCATTAGCGTCTGAATTCACCTGTACTTGCTTAACTTCAGGGTGGACAGATCTCTGCAATTCAGGAAGACTGAACAAAGTCTCCAGTCCTACCGTTTGCCACTTTCCGCTGTAGCTACGGTTAATGGGTAGCCATCCACCCCTTGCGTGCATAAATCCTTTTCCCATTGTAGGATATTGGCTTGATGTGGCATTTATGGAACTATAGGAGCAGCTGGCGATGTCGGATTCAAGGCAAGTAGGTTGTCCTGGCCATCCTATTGAGCAGATGGCCAGGACTTGGAAATTATTAGGATCCAAGACAAGGGTCAGTTGCACGGGAGCTGGGCAAAGGCAATAGTAGCACGTATCTGAACGCAGACACCTGCAGTCCGATGGGGTCTCCCTGCCTCTGTTTGATTTTGCTTCAAGCAGGAATAGATGCAGGCCCTCTTCCTGGGCTGGGATTATAAGCACATCTCTAGAGTTTATTAATTATTACTTGGCGACTAATTTGATAATTGTTGAATCCATATGGTGAGCTATTCTGTAAAAAGAAAATTTGAGGTTAAATTTCATCAGCATGTGTATGAATTTGGCCTTTAGTCTAGTCCTGCATGTCACCATCTTGCCAATGTCTCTGTGTATTTTGGATATACCTAAAGACAGCTGGAAAGCTTCAACTCTGAGCCCTCTGTCGTGCTCGTGTGCTAACCTTTTGAAGATGACTAATGCCACGAAAGCTGCTCTGAAGTGGAAGTGCCAGGAGCTAAGTTTTGCAACGAGGGTGCACACTCTTCAGGGAGAGAGGGATGTCTGTTTCTTCTAGTCCATTTTAAGCTCATTTGTGCAATTGCTGCCTTCTCAGTATTACTGTGTAACTCCTTTGATCTTAAAGTGGAAGGAAGCAAGTTTGAAGAGCCAGGAAAAACTCCTCATGTGGCTTTAAAAGGAGCAGCGTATTACAAAATTGAGAGGATGGCAAATAAAACATAAATTTGGATCTTTTGAAATTTAAGCTCAAAGACGCACTGACTTTGAGAGCCAGGCACATTGTGATGCTTAGGAATAAAAGTGTGGCTCAACATTCATTCAAATTTGAGGGTTTACATTAACGTGTATCCCAATGTGATCCATCCCCTCGCCTGTTTGTACTGAGTATGATACGTGGTGATTTATACTTTCAGTCCTTCAAGAATATGGTTAGACATGTTACAGATGAGGATACAGAAGCTTCCAGACTGCTCTCCTAATTCACAATTCCAGATTTTCTCCCTCACTTTGCCTCCTCTACCCTGGACAGGGAACAAAATGTAAATGTAGGTCACTAAAGCAGCTGTCTTCACTGTCATATTTAAAAGTCGCCTAAATTGCTTAGCATATGTTCATTTTTTAAGTGGCAAATTGATTGAAACAGTGAGTGGCAGGAATTATTTTGGTTAGGACTGTGCCTTCCTAGAAGAAATCCACTTATTAGCATGCTGTTTGGATTCCCCACCCTGAGTTTTGGAACCTAGACATAGACTGGGGAATGAGCTCAGTATTAGTAAATTTCTTTGACTAGCTAACAAGCTCCCCACCCATCTTCTCAACACCAGCCATGTGTACCAGCAATGGAGGCTGGGCAGTCGAGTGCATGGTGTAGAAGGCTTTGCATTTGTAGGGTTGCTTACAATCTGTGGTCAGGCCTTTCAGCTCAAAGAAATTCAGGTCTGAGTATTGAACACAGAGATGCTATAATCACGAGTGAGCAGAAATTGAACTTGGATTAGGTTGCCTGGCTATTTTCCTCTCATGTGGCCTGCAGATGTTGTGAATTATCAGTGAGTGTCAGTCACGGAGGATTACGAACACCTTCTTTGAGCCTTTACACCATTAGACAAGACTAAATGCATTAAAGGGTCCCCCTAACTATAAAACTTCCCCTCTCATTTTGGATGGAGCCTCAGAGTATAGTAATCTCTCCATCTGCAGGTGATAAATTCCAGGACCCCAATGGATGCCTGAAACCACAAATGGTACCAAACACAATATACGTTCTATTTTTCCTACACATATGCTGCTGCACTGTAAGAGATTAATAATAACAACTAATAGTAAAACAGGACAATATACTATAATAAAATTGCCAGCATTAGTCCTCTTTGCACTTTGGGGCCATTGTCAACTAAAAGAGGGACAGATGGTCTGATCAGCAGACTGGCTACTGAGTGATGCTCCAGGTAAGGGGGTGACTTGCATTCTGGACAGGCCAGTGCAGGACAGCATAAGATTTCGTCATGCTACTCAGAGCCTCATGCAATTTAGAACTTGTGAATTGTTTCTTTTGGGGATTTTCCATTTAATATTTTCAGACCACAGTTGACCATAGGTAATGAAACTGCAGAATGTGAAACCATGAATAAGGGGAACTAATATATTTCGAAAAGTTTCCCTGGTAGAAAAGGGAGGGTTAACACAGCTGTGGAGGAGTATAAGTTGATAAGACTTGTGATGTGTAATCTCTTCCAGAAAACTAGAAGAAGCCTTAAGCCAGTGAAATTATTAATATAGAACATCACCCTCCACCTCTACACACACTCACAGAAGCTCAAAGAGCTAAATTTCACTCTGTAACAAATGTTTACAGTTACTTAAGACAGCAGTCACTTTATTATTAACTGATTCTGTAAATTGGCTGATCAGTTAACGGTTGGACCAGCTCAGCTGGTTGGCTGAGGCCAGATGGCCTGGAATGGACTCAGTCACCTGGCTGGTACTTATTGGTGCGTCTAAAAGGACTTCTGCTGAGCTGCCTGCGTCTGCTCCCTGTACTCACTCTCTCATCCTTCAGTGGGCTAACTTGGAATTCTTCCCCTTTTGGCCTGATGATTCCAAGTATGGCCTCTGCCTACATCACATTGACGGCGTCTTAGGCAAAGCAAGTAAGATGTTCAAGCCTAGATTCTGAAAACAGAGAAATTTGACTGGAGTCATGACTCAGGTGACAGAGTGTCTGCCTTGCAAGTATAAATCCCTGAGTTACCACCAAGAAAAGAAAGGAAGAAGGTCAGTCAGTCTCGATGGAAGAGTGGCAAAATGAAATTGCAAAGATGCATGTGTCAAGGACTGAAGCAACTGTGGCCCTTTTGCCATCTCCCACAGGTGTCAGAGAATTAGGTAACAGGTAGTTAAACTGGAATGAACATTTCTACCAGGCTGAATCAAAAAGGCCCCCTGTGATACCTTCCTGTCACATAACAAAATACCTGAGATTAACTCATAAAAGAAGAAAAGGCTTATTTTATCTCACAGTCTTAGAGGTTCTAGTCAATGATTGGCCCCATTTCTTTGGACTTGAAGCAAGGCAGCATGTCATGGTGAGAGAATGTGGTAGAGAAAACCATTCACTTTATCAACCTTCAGGAAGCCAGTGGGAAAGAGAAAGCAACCAGGATCCCACAGTTCTTTTCCAGGGCACACCCCCAGTGACCTGAAAATTTCCCACTAGTCCTAACTACTACCTTCCCATAGAGCCACCCTGGGGGCCAAGCCTTTAATACATGGGCCTTGGGGGAAACTCACCCAAACCATAATATCTCTTATTACCTACAACTTCAGTTTCATATGGGATCTGTCTCTGGGATCTTACTGTATTCTGAACTTCAGAAATTTGGTCACATTTGCTGGTAAGTATCTCCTATCTTGCATTTTTGAGTTGTGATTCCATTTTTGGCCGTGTTTTAAATTTTTGCTAAATTACTTGCCGTAGTGCAAATACAGGATTTTTTCAAATAAATTTTGATTTGGTTTATTCTGTGGATATTTGCCTTTCATACTTTACCCAGTATATTAAACCCTTGGCTAGAGTTTCCTGTTAGGCATTTTGGAGGCACACTCATGCCAACTCCAAGCATTCTACCTTCATGATAGGATGTACCTGGTACTTACTCACTGATACTTTTTTTTTCATACCTGTAGTGTTTGTGATATGGCACCCAGTTTTACATAAACATAACACAGTGCACAGTGACACCTGTGTTCTGAACATAGACAGAACTCAGGGCTCCAGACATGAAGGTTTGATCACTGTTACCATGGAGGGTCTAGCCAGGGTTTCTCTCAACTTCACCCTGTGAACTGTTGACATGTTGGGCCAGGTAATTCATTGTCTTGGGGGTGATATTGTGGGCATTATGGGATGTTTAGAAACAATCCTGGTCTCTACCCACTTGAAGCTAGTGACTGTTCTTCCTTCCTTTTCTCCTCCATCCCTAACTGTGAACACTAAAAATGTCTCTGGGCAAGGTCAAGTCCCCTTAGGGAGGGCAGAGTTGACCCCTGGCAAGAAGCACTGCTCTCACTTGCAGATGCTGAACCAGAGGAGAGAAGAAAATGTGTGAAGTGTGGGTTCTTATCAGAGAAAACAGGAGGAGGAAAGGCATCTTAGCAGGGAGAGTAGGTAAGGGTAGGAAGCAGTGTAGAAAATTTGCAGTCTTCTTAAAGTTCAACCTAGGAATGGGGAGAGTTTTTTGTTTGTTTGTTTGTTTGTTTGTTTGTCTTTTTTCTTTTTTGGTGCTGGGATCGAACTCAGGGCCTCACACATGCTAGGCAAGTGCCGTACCACCGAGCTACATCCCAGCCCCTCAACCTAGGAGTGGTTCTGGATTCCTCTGAATTAACTTGAAACATCAAATTTGGTCTTGCTAGTACACATTGAAAGGTTCATTAATATCTCAACTTCATTATGTTAGAAGTAGATTAATGGTAAATACTAATGTTGAAGGGGAAAAAAAGGGCAGGAACTATCATGGCCACAGATAGTGGATTTTTTAAAGCTCTTTTTTTATTTTGGAAAAAATTAAACATACACAGAAGTAGAGAAAATGTATTGTGACCTCTCCTGTAGCCATCAGTCAAGGTCATAGATGATTGATTCAAGGCCATTCTTGTTGTATCTATACCCCACTCACGCCCCCTGCTGTCCACTCTTGGATTATTTTGTAGCAAATTCTAGGTGCCATTTCATTTTGTTCATAAGTATTTCAATGTATAGCTAAGAGAAAGTACATAAAATTATGATTATAATATGGTGAAATTACAATGTTCTAGAAAGGGCAAGAATGAGAATTTATGGTAAGTAATATCAGAGAGTAAAAGGAAAGAATGAGTGGGATCAAGATCAAAGAAGCTTGACTTGGGGGGGCACTGAAAACCCCAGAGGGAAATGAAAGTGGGGATACTGACTCTTCAGATGGCAGTCTCCTACTGTCTTGCTTTGGGTCATTCTTACAAATGTGAATTTTCACAGGGACTAGGGTCTTTGCAAAGGAGAACAGGCTGGCAGGGAACTGACGTGTTTTCTCAGAAGAAAGGAAGGTATTAAAATATTCAGTCCATGATGGATTGCTCTCTGATGACTTTCAGTGACTTTTTAGCCCCATCAGGACCTACTTTTAAATAAAAGAAAACAGAAAGGAAGTCTTGCAGTTGCTTTTGAAGATTTTGCTAAGCCTGTGGCATTTCCCTCTTGTTGTAATGTATTCTGAGAAGTTTCTTTCTTCTGATTTAGACTTCCTCACTTGATTTTATTATGTTGTAAATCTCCAGCATTTGGTGAGAGTCATGGTATATGTGAGCTCTAAGCAGCTTGCTAGATAACATCTCCCTCCCTCCCCCCTTAGAAGATTAAACTGAGGCTGTTGTACCTGATGCCAGAATAGATTTAACCAATCATATTTCCTTTACGTGTAGGTCAGTCCGAGGGACAATTCCGCACTGGATCCCATTATCCATGGGTTGAAGGGTGTCGTACATCATGGTAAGTAAGGCACATACACTTCCTTTGGCTGGGATGTGAGGGCTCAGCTCTCCACCTAGCAGAATCAGGTTATCTTACAGAGCACAGAGGGTGACAACCGTTTCTCATCCATAGATGTTGAAGGGCATTAGAGCCAATATTTGATGAGTGAAGAGCACGCCCATTCATTACCTGCAAATGGGTCTGGGTTAGCCATAAGCCGTTTGTTTCTCTTCAGGTACTACTTTGAATGCATAGGTTATAAATCAAATGTCCAAAGATACACTATTCTTGTATGTTGAACCTGCCATTTATCTCATCTCTCTCCTAAAAATATTCTTCTTTCAAGTGTCTTTTCCCTTACAATTTTCTGTTTGATCTGCCTCTCAGATTTGGGGGTGTGTGTGAAATAAGTAGTCAGGAGAAGGTATTAAACTTTACTGCACATGAGCCAGGATCACATAGCCGCTAGAACAGAAAAGGCCAGGCTGATATTCTGTACATCAGACATCATATCAGGCATAAAACTGGGAGAGGAAGTAAGATAAATGGGGTCTGTCTTTTCCAACTGGTTTTTATTGGAGGAATTTCCCTGCAACTTTATTATTGGCAATGCACATTACCTCTGACATCAAGATCCTCTCTTTTCAAAAGTACCCTTGTCACAGTGAGGTGTGGAGTCTGGATCTAATGTAATGATTTGCAAAGTTTTAATAATCTAATTAGAATTCCAAAGAGATTGACAGAAAAAGCATTAGTAACTGTAATAAAGCTCCCTTCATTCCCACAGCTGTGATAAAACATCTTCCTACCTTTTGGGAGGATTGTCTGTAGACATGAGCCAATTCTCCGTAGCATTTAACAAACACCTCTTCCAGGGAAACTAAACCAGTTATCAGGATTCAATTAAGTGGGGTTTAGGATTAATTGTTCTGTTCTCACAACTGCTCAATCCTGCAGTAGACACAACAAAAAGCCCAGTGAAAGTAAGAACATAGGGGAAACTGAAAACATCCCATAGAACTTTTCATTTTAGGGAGTTTCCATTGCTTCTTCCCAAGTCTCAGTTTCCATAAAGGCATTAGGCTCTGCCGTCATGACCCAATTACCTCCTAGGGTGCCCACATGATACCATCACTGTGGGCGTTAGGATTTCAACATATGAGTTTAGAAAGGGACTCAAACACTGGGCAGAAGCTGTTCCCTGGAAACTGTGTCACCTGGCTTGGTTGCAGAGATGTCCTGGGGTTTGACTTTCACCCTGCTGTCTAACTAGAAAGTCAGAGAGACCTGCAAAAAATAATCCCTTACAAAGGAAGTTCGTTTGTTTATTCAGCAAAGCTAAGTTGCAGACCCCGACTGTGTGCAGACTAGTGTTGCAGCATTGATGAGGGCAGCCTCTGGCCAGCTCTCATGGGAAGGAGAAGGAAGGGAGGTTCTGTCCTCTATCCCTGCACCTCGTTCAGAATGTCTCCTCCCAGCCTTTGGCATTTCCTCCATTGGCAGACTTCTTCCTGTGCTCAGACCATGGGTACCTCCCTTTTATGCTTTCGGGTCTCCTGAGAAACTTCTTGTTTAATTATCCTACCAAGTTATTTGCCCCTCTCCACTCCTGTCACTCTGTCACCTCATCTGGGTTTCTCCCTTCAAAGCACTGAACACACATTGGGAATGACCTTGTCTGTTTACTGACTCAGGCATTACTACACAGGAATGAGCTTCATAAAAGCAGGAAACCAAGTTTGTGCACACTGTATCAAGCAAATAGTACTCAGTACTATTTGACATGTACCAGGCTCAGTACATATCAGCCAAAATGACCAAATCAAGTAAGTGATTTCATAATAAGTGAAAGTATGAAAATATAAAACTGAACTAAGGAAAATGAACTGGAGAACACTCAATGTTTGCCTTGATTGAGAAGAGAAAGGAGTAAAAGTGTCTTTCTTCAGAAAGGGAATGGAGCATTTAAAATAGTTAAAAAGAAATTTTGTTAGAGCTAGAAGTATTTTCAGTTGAAGGTCCTTTGAGGGATTTGTGTGATCTGTTAATTTGAAGGAGCATAAATAATTGTGCCCTTCACAGAGCCTCTGGCTTGGGAATGATGATAGAGATGTGTAAAGAGAAAAAAATCAATATGGATTTCAGTAGTGGTTAAGAAATGGCTTTTATTTCTTCAGCTCTGGGAGTCGTATCCTAGAATGTTAATTTCTCATTAAGTGATTTTTTTTTCATAGGAAGAATCTTATATGTTCCTTCAGTTGAGGCGCCAATGACTAATCTGGTCATAGCAGCCAGCCATACTTGACAATTAGTCATCAGAGTCCTTTGTGAAACAGACGCCAAGATGGAGTTTTAAGTGCAGGAGAGGTCTCTGGCAGGAAGGGATGGCCTTAGAAAGATAAGGGGGAGAGAGAGTGGGAATAGGTTGGGGGCGGGAGTTGCTCGTCCCTGAGGCAAGTCTGATACCTCTGAGAGGAGTGAAGGGAGCTGGGAGGATTGATTGCAGGTCATCTGAGGAAAGTCTTGGCCAGGCCCTCAGGGGACTCCAGAGAAAAGACAGTCCCTGAGAGGAGCCCCTGAGTTGGGCAGGAATGGCCTAGTTCTCTTCCCTTCACTGATGTAGTCAGCAGCTGGAGTAGCACTGCTCCTTTCTGGAAGGAAACTCCAGCACTCCCGCAGCTGGCCTTCCAAAACCCCATAACTAATCAGTTTCCAGGGGGTTTCCTACTTGATCCTCCTCTCCAAAATGCTCAGATCATTGAGTGCCTAATGCAAGTGCACCATGAAACTCGGAGAGCATGGGGCCACCCTTGTGAGTTTGCAGAGTCTTTGGGGAGACCCACAGTTAAGCAGGTAATGGCATTGACAGCAGGGGAGCAATAGGCTTCACTCAGACTTGGAGATGTCTCACACAAAGTGACCAATAAGGCCTAAAGAGTTCATAGACATTGTCCAAGCAGGAGGCGGGCTCAGGATTCAAGCAGGGATGTGTTGTAAATGACGGTGTCTGTTGATGGGGGGGTGTGGTGTGTTTGGGGCTCTGAACACTTCAATACAGTCTCTCTCTGCTGCAAGAGACACCCCACAAGCTCTGTGACCGCACAAAGTGCTGTTTTTTAATGTGTTCCTCTTGCATGGAAATTATGAATTGTGCAAACTTGAAATCTGTGAGATATAAAGAGAATGGAATAAAGTAATTTGTCATTGATTCCAATCCTATCCATCTGTCCATCTAGGGATATATGGAAACATCAAAATATATTTAATTAAGTGTTTTCTTTATATCACCACTAAAATCCACAGCAAAGGAAAAATTTAGGGGGAAATTCTGAATACTGTTTACTGCATTGACTCAGTCATCTATAGCACCCTCTGTAAACACGGGCCAGCAAGCAGCCGTACCACATATTATAAATATTGGTTCCTGAGAACTTAGTCTAGTCCCAATTTGTTTAAAACCTGTTCTTAAACACACACACAATTTGTGTATGACTTGGTATAGAAGTAGTGTCTTTTCCTCGTAATTAGTTTTACCTAAATGGTCAATGTATTATGTGTAATGCAAAATATGTATTATGTTCTATGTCAATTAAAAATTATGTTTTTATGACTCTCCCCCTGTATAATGAATATATTCTGATAAAAATTTATTATAAAAAATGAAGTAGTTACACACACAAAAAAAAGTATGTGTTTTTGATGGTCACAGGGAGCTCACACCTATAATCCCAACTACATTGGAAGGATCATAATTCAAGGTCAGCCTGGGACAAAAAGTTCGACCCCATCTCAACCAATAGCCCAATGTTGTAGCACGTACCTGCCATTCCAGCTGTGGGAGGCTGAGATTGGGAGGATCACATTCCCAGGCCATCCCAGGTAAAAAGTTCAAAAAATTCCATCTTAGTGGAAAAATGCTGGGTGGGGTGGTGCATACCTATCACCTCACTGACAGGGGCAAGCATTAAATGGGAGAATTGCAGTCCAGGCCAGCCTGGGCAATAAAGAGACCTTATCTCAAAAATAACCAGAAGAAAAAGGGCTGGAGGCATGGCTCAAGTAGTAGAGTGCCTGCCTCACAACAGCAAAGCCCTGAGTTCAAATTCTAGTACCACCACACAAAAAAAAGCATGCATTTTTTTCAAGCTTTTGGACTTTGCATACTCTGTGTACTCCTTTTTATATCACCCACCCAAACAAATGCCAGCGCCAAAGCTTGTGTGCACCTGTGCTGTTAAGTCATGGAAACACTAACTACTCCCCCTTGGCAGCCATCTCAAAAAGACTGATTTTCTATTCTGAAGGAAAACAGGTGTTGAGCTTTGTCTGTTTGCCCCTCTTTCCCAGCCTCCTCCTCACAGTCACTTCCTCTCTCTTCTGCAAGTGCAGACGGCTATTTCCCTTCTGCTGAAGTGTGGGGGACAGTTAGAAATTGCACTGGACATACTGTACACCGGTCATTTCCAGATATCTGTTCTCTCTAGCCTCCCTCCCTCCCCTGGCTCTTCCGAGAATGCTGTCAGTGAAGGCACACATACATTATCACTGAAATCCCTTCTGATAATTCCCCAAATGAGGCTTTTACAGGCTTTTCTTGTCAAACTCCAGCATTGGAAATCAGGGCTGGGACGAGATCAAAGTGTTCCTTGCAGAATAGCTATGCTGACTGACCAGTTTATTATCCGGGGTCACCTTTGGGGTGTTTCTCCCTTTTTTTCTCCACTTGTCCTCTCCTCTCCAATCAGTGGACAAAGCCCTAGGATAGCTGGCATCTTTCCATGCACCTAACTGAAAAGGAAGCGAGGCCCTGCTACATGTTTCCAGGTAGTGGTAAAAGCACGTGATCCTGCATTTGTTCTTTAGTTCACATCTCACCTGCCCGGACCCAATTTCTATTACAAAGAGTAACATGGCGGTGTCTGAGAGAACCACTGAGCCCTTCTGAAACACTGGGTAGGCCTCATCTCACACAGTTACAGTTGTTTCACTGGTCATGATGAACTGGTTAAAAAGAAACC